CGGAACGAATATCTCCGAATGCTCTAGCTATGTGTATCTAGGTCGGGAAGTCAACATGATGAACGACCTAGCTCCAGGGCTGTGCAGAAGAAACGCGCCGCGTGGGGAGCATTTAAGAATATCGAAGGAGTAGTGAAGAAGACAAAGAACATCCGGCTCCGCGCTCACCTTTTCGACACTGCTGTCCTTCCTGCCTTGACGTACGCCTCGGAGACCTGGACTCTACGAAAGCAGGATGAGCATGCTGTCAGCGTTATTCAACGCGCTTTGGAAAGGACGATGCTCGGAATTTCCCTATACACGCAGGTGCACAAGGGAATCCGGAGTTCCGGGCTCCGTCACCGAACGAAGATCAGGGATGCCGTTGATTACGCCAAGAAATCGAAGATCAGGTGGGCCGGACACGTTATGCGATATACTGAGACCGTTGGACCAGGGCGGTTACTGACTGGATCCCTCGGGACATCAAACGAACTCCAGGAAGGCCGCCAACGAGATGGTCAGACTTCTTCACGAAAGCTCTGAACGAAAGGAATGTTGAACCTCGTGTCCCTCGTGAAGCGAGAACGATTCAATGGACCACTCTGGCTCGTGACAGGGACGAATGGAGACGTTACTGGCGCCCGCTCGAGGAAGTCGATGATCAACGGGACGACAGGTGATACAGGTGATACGAGCGGCTTGTTGATTCGAGGTTAAGGGAACTCGTCTCCATCACTTCAGAACAGTATGTGTTCACGCCTGAGAATTCTACAACGGATGCAATCTCCGTAAGAAGGGAAGTGATGGGGAAATATCAAAAAAGAGTAAACCTTGCTACCTGGCCGTCGCGGGTAGAGCCTTCGGCCGCACTTTTATAAAGAGTGCTCTGAGAAGAGAACGTTTCTGAACGCCTGATCTTCATGAGCATCGATGTGTACGACGGGTCCAAGGCCATCTCACGGCCTACAAGAACTCTAACCGTTATACTTCATTAGATGGTTATGAAATAACCGCCTTGGTTTATGTTTACAAAGTATCTGCTCTGAGCCGGCTCATCTTACTAACATCTGGAGACTTCACAGATAGGCTAATTGAAGATCCCATGAAAACCATGAGCGAGTCGCTGTGCCAACGAAAGCAAGGAGAGAGCTCCAGGGTATGACGCAAAAATGGTAGAGCATGCAGACAGAAAGTGGAGGCCGGGTAAACGTGAAGAAAACCAAGCTCCCAAGCACAGGTTAGGATTCAGAGCCAATCATGGAGAGCTACGAGGAGAACGTTCGAAGAGTACAAGTCTATCGATATGTGGGTGAAGAACTAGCCGCACTGTGGTGTTTACTTGGAGGTTTTCACCGCTTTACTGTTCGCGGTTATTCTTATGAGCAAGCTTACTTTCCCCACGTTTTAAACCGGCAAGACACTGTAGGATGGTAGAAACCATTGCCTAATATGCTATACAATTACTAGTCTTTGCCTTCCCAAAAGACTCCTCCACGGGATATTTGAAAAATTCAACATGTTGCATCCTTGCGGCATCCAACCAAGAACTCTTTACTGACATCTCCGGTTAGTCATCCAGATGCACTTTACCGGGCCCACACAGGCACTTCTTACAGTATTTCACAAGAGATGAGTTAATAGGTAACAACGAAAGTGTCGCAAGACCTATAAACCCATTCAGTTTACTCCTTTGGTTTTTAATAAAGTACTTTTTTAGCAGCTCGAGAGACACCCTTATCCTTAGTCGTCATCTGCAGGCACTTCCTGAAAGATGTGCAGTTGCCTCCAATATCAACCTCAATACGGCTGACCTCGAGTTGTTATACTTATAGGCTTTATTAATGTTTCCTCTTCCGGTTTAGCTTTTCATATTTTATATTGTTCGTGTTGTTGTATTGAAGCTTTTTCATAAAACGTTATTCGTACTGGTTAAGAAAAGTGAGTACCTTCCTTTTTTGCCATCCGATTTCGAAGGTTCAAATCCACCTCCAGAAGTGGACTTTTGCGCTGAACTATATCCTCCTCACTCCTTTTTTCTGTTCGTAGTGTGTTTGTGTATCGTGAGATTCTTCGTAGTGTGTTTGTGTATCGTGAGATGTCAGAAAGGGTAACCAGTCCCTAATCATATATATGTTCACTGATCTCTGAACTAACTCGAACATGACGGATACAAAATGAATTTCACCAACTCGAGTGAATCGGCGACAATGTGGCAACGTTGACGATGGCTTGTAGCTCTACCTCGTCTGACGCTAGCTTTAAATGCAGCAGTTATGAAGTGGGCAAAATCTACGCAGTGCTGAGAAGAATCTGATCTCAAACATCTTTCTCAATCTCGAAGTAATCCATAATCCAGATTCAACTAGACTGTACTACTACTTCTGAATCCATGGTCCAACTTGTGTGAGCTGCTTAGGGGTGGCACTTTCCTAATATCTTCTCTCGCAATGTTGCCGCTGCGTTTGATAGCTCTCAAAACGGTCGTTTTTGACGGAGAGAGTTTCAAGACTGCACGGTTCTGGTTGACGCTCTTGGTGCTATTTGAAGCTCTCCTCCATATATCTCGTTCAGCTCTGCTGGACAACTTGCATTGACGTCCCCGGACATCTCCGTTGCCGTGGGCTTCAGGATCACTGAGGTAGGAGCAAACCAAGCGGTGAGCCTGCCGATCCGCCTTCAAGGATCGTCTCGTCCAACTCAGAGCGGTCAGCCGAGGTTGTTGCTCGGCTGACCTCGCATCTTCCCAAGCTTCCTCGGCTGTCGTAACAGACGGTGGCTGGATTCCTTTAATCACAGCGGCCCTCATTCCCTTCCACCGCCATCATTTAACTCTTATAGACGCAATCCTTTCTACTTGTTTTTGTTTTAGCGGAGCGACTTTAAGCGTGCAAATCAGTGAACAATGTTAGCGATCGCCTTATACGGCACAGCCCTAGCATCTGTCGCGTGCCATTTTAATGCTTGACGAGAACATAAAGTCTTGCTGTTCTGTTTTTGCCGTTGTAGAAAGTGATGAGATGAGAGCCACGTTCCGGAAGTCTGTGTTAATTGTGGTGAGGTTATGCGAGTCAGGAAATTCAATTATTTGCCGGCGTTCGGTGACCCATACACCCACCTTGACAACTGTAGCCAACTTTCGTAGTTAAAGCGTGCCCAATAAGACACCTGCAGCAACACTAACTTTATGTGAGTGGTGCTTGAGCTGTCTTTCCATCGACCAAGAGTCAGCACTCTTTCTCTACTAGTTCGGAGTAACGAGTCAGTGGCAGGTACAAGAACAACTACAGTTATCAAGAGGCGCTCACTAAAGCGTTCGACATCACAATCGAGTCTCGGAAATGTTCAGAGACAAGTACGACATCGTTGGTGGTCCTGTGAGAGCCGAGTGAGAGTCACTCAGGAGTCCGCGTTCAGTTGGCTTAGTTGAACGCGGATCCTCAAATTAGGAGACGGGCCGACCTCAGAACACTACTGCCGCTTCTGAATTGCTAAAGTGTTCAACGTATCACGGTTTACTGCTACGGAGTCCGCGGGAGCCTACGCGCGCTCGCAAAACCCGAAAGGTATAAAAAGTACGCGAGTCTCGATTGCAAGGTTGGCATTGAGGTTCAACTGTGCTGGTTCAAGAGTTTCACAAGGTATGAAAGGCTCGCCTTGCAACTCTAAATGTTGACAAGTTGACGGGCCGCTCTTGCAAGTTAGTAGATGCGCTGAAGCGTAGACGAAAATGTTTTGTACAGTGCAGGAGACGCTGGTATGGCTACGATTAGGGGACATTGGCTTCAAAGCTATTCATTGCAGAAGATCCAGGATTCTTTGCGAAACTCAATGTATCCTGGTGACGACGTCTTCGAGTCACTCGAAACGGCACTTTCTGACCAGCAGCCTTTGTCAAATGCTCCTTGAGTTGTCTTTTCGGAAAGCAACTGCAGTGTACTCACAAGACATCCATTTTCACAGCTCCATCGGCTGAAGAAGCCTTGCAAGCCGTTAGCAAACTGACCTTAATTTACGGTTCCCGTCAAGAAAATACCACAAAGAAAGCTACGTATTGAGTAAAACGATACAAAAGATAAAGCAGAAGTACCTAGCGTGATTTCATTCTCATATCGCCGTAGTCAATTCCTGGTCATCGGACCTCATTCGAAGTTCACGGTGGGTTACAGAGCTGTGCGCCTCTGATTGGCTGGCTCCTCCACCATCGATGCATTCCATTAGAACCATTTCGTCGGCTTTTTTTTCACGTTTTCAATTCAGTTTGTCGGCCCACTACTCAAGATGTATGTACGTGTATGTATGTATGTATGTATGTATGTATGTATGTATGTATGTATGTATGTATGTATGTATGTATGTATGTATGTATGTATGTATGTATGCCTTTCGCTCACACCCCCACGAATTCTTTTCAGATTTCAAATTAACTCCTTCAAGTGGGCTGTATCTTAGAGTACACCACATACATACGACTACCTACTCCCTGATTCAGAGAACGGTCCTGGCAAGAAAAAGGGAGAACGGTAATTGCTCATTGCCGCAGATATTTGTACCGCCAAATATTGCAGATTACAGGTTTTAAACTTTATTGGACATGGTGTCGAGGCATGTGCAACTCTACCTTGGAGCCAGCAAAAGCGCACATAAGCTACCCATCGCATGTCACATTTCTGGGCAATCCTTTATTCTTTCAGGGTTAATATTCCACACACAAAATTGTTCGGGACAAAACTTTCCCGAGTCATCTCCTTGCTCAACGTGAGTGATGTTTTTCTTGTCATTTTCGTCTCCTCACCTTCAAAGCATAAGGCACAAACAAAACGGAATGGTGAACGCCCAACCTCAAATCAACCTCCTGGAGCACGTCGTTTCGTACATTCGCTGTCCTTTAAGGTCAGCAGGGCGATACGCGGCTTCCCACACCACATCCAAGGAATGGTAGAGAGCAGCAAATGGATTCGACTTGACAGATGTACCCATCAAGCTATTCAAAGTGGATTCCATACAGGGACGAGCCAAAGAGGTTGCCATTCATTATCTTTACGACTAAACATGATTCCTCTCTCGATAGAGTTGATTCCTTCAGTTGCCTCACCGTCGTCATTTCTCGTTCCTCAAGCTTGCTTATCTTTGATCTTCAAATCTCTTCTGTGCCTTCTTTACATTGAATCTGAAATGGGTTTACTCCATCCTTCCCATCATCCTCAACATCCAACCTCAACCACACGTTCGTTCCCCGTGTTCCCCCGTTCCTGGTGTTCCTCCATGTGCCTATTGTTTGTACTCTCCAAAGTCCGGGACAGACTCAGGGCTTCAGCTCGAGGGAAACTCGTGAGGAAGGTCCCTTCATAAACTGAGGGCTGCAGCTCTTGTCTGCCCTGCTTTCGCCAGGTAAAGCCCTCAACCTCTCGGAATATCTACCCTAGTGCTCACAGTTGCTAACAGTTGCTATTCATTTGCTCTCACATATGCATATATATGCCTTACACAGCTGAATCATCTATTTCGCTGCTCCTTTGCTTACTTACCTGTCTAAAAAAAGTTCTAAAGTAAGAACGTCACGACCGTGCCTTTTACTGAGCTTGCACGCATATGCGTTTCATCGAGAACGTTCCCTAGCTCATTATAAAGGCTGCTCAAGGAAGAATAGACCCATTTCTGTATTCTTTAGATGCATCCCCAGCAAACCAGCTACTAATCTACCAGATACGGAAAATATTTTCCACAAGAGGAAAGCATACCTGGTTCGTAAATAAGGCCACAGTATCTTTCACAGCGTTCGAAACCTAGATAGAAAACCGAATTTGGACTAAACATACTGTCCGTCAGTTTGCTACCTTCCTTAAATACTTGTTGACTGAGCAGCGATCGTGATAAAATACCTGAGGGGCCTACATAATTGTACTCAATCAAATTTAGGCGTGAGGTTAGCTATCTGTACGCAATCACACGATTTATCTGAAGTATTTTATAGCGGTGCTATAGCACTGCAAATCTCCATGTACAGGTGTCTCTGAGCTGCAACTTTTTGTAGGTGCTTAGGTTACTGCTATCATTTCTGTATCCGTGTCTTTCTCAGTTGTCAGTACATCTTACTGGAATAAACCAGTCACTTCTAGATTGAAAATGTATTTTGTAGGTGTAACACTTCCTTTATAACACTTTTTATAATGTCGGCTCCATATCTCGACGACAGACATATTGCAGGTATGGGTTTCTTCTTGAATCCTTAGCTTATTTTACTGGTTATCTCATCTATTTTTCAAAACCAATTTTTTTTCAGCTCTCGAGAAGCTTGTCTCTGATGCTGATGATGTGGAGGAGTCGAATCCACCGAGGGTTGTCCCCATGTATGTGGTAAGTAATAACTTTTTTGCTGTTTGCAACATTTTTGACACTGGAATCGTTGTTCTACCCATCAGCAGTTGTAGGCCAGGATTTTGGGTTTGGCATTCCTTATACCGCTCAGAGTTGGCTTTAATTTGCAAATGCACATTCATTCATATATTTGATTGTTATTGAAGCAAGAAACGTTCTGCTCTCCAAATGAACATCCACTGGAATTCACCTACGTCTATTCCTTTTTCCTACGTCCACCCGGCAAATTTGATCCGATCGAATATGCCCAGAACGTCCAACAAATTGCGGCAGTATGTTCAGTTGAACAGTTCTGGAGTGTCTATCGCCATATAAAACGGCCTTGCGGTGAGTATTTGGGATTCGCAGTAACTCTGCTATGTTTGAGCTTGTGGATTTGTAACGGCGATTACCTTCTTGGTAAAATATGGGTCCATTCATAATAAAACATCCATCATTAGCGTTGTGTTCAAACGCCGCTCCCAGGTCTGCTTTCCGAATCTTCCATCCGTATGTTAGGAAATGACAGGAGAAATAGCCATCACGACCACATTCCACCATCAAGTTATCCTCAGCATCACCTTACAGCTTGTTGACAACGCTCGCTTAACCTTTTAGTGTGATAGCTCTACCAAAGGTTTGGCGTTGGAATTCTATCAAATTCACTAGCACGATCCCATTCACAATTTATTTTCGAAATCCTGACTTACCTGCATTGTTGCAAATACTAGCAGTAATCGGATAATAGTTCCGTTACTGGCTCCTTGGTGATTAAAAACTATTTTTTTACATGTGGAGCACGACACAACCCAATCCATTCCCCATGGCCACTCACCATGCTTCTTAAGCTACGCTATACATTTTAAGGTGTTAGGTATCACATTTTTCAGATATCGGCGAAAAAGTAGATGTTCATTTCTTCAAAAAAGGTATCAAGCCGGTTTGGGAAGATGAAGCCAATATAAAAGGAGGTAAATGGATCCTTCGATTGAAAAAGGTATGCTTTCTATTGTTTACAATGTGTCGTTCTATAGATGCAATGTTTTTTCAGGGTCTGTCTTCTCGAATATGGGAAAATCTTCTACTCGCAATGGCTGGAGAACAGTTTCTTGTTGGTGATGAAATTTGCGGTGCGGTATGTTCTGTGCGTAATCAAGAGGACATTGTCTCTCTGTGGAACAGGTACTTTATTAAGAAACCTCTCGTAAGAAATTATTCAGGCAGGAGTATACAGGATTGGCTACATGGTAGCTCTTATCTGTGTATGTAACCTACTTCTTTTTTTTTTCTTCCGTGTAATCTTTGACTATCCGTTGGCAAGAATTGTTGTTTAATTAGCCACAGATTTGTGATTTCTCGGAGCCAGATTACAAATTACAACTGTAATCTGTGATTTGTGCTCGAGCTCTGCCAGATTACAAATCCGTGATTTGTTAACCAGTGGGTATTTCCGCGCTACAAGAAATTGCTTTCTCTTGGTGATCAAAGAGTTAGGATGGAAATATTGCCATCAGGTGGAAGAGCATATCAGCTCCCAAGAAAGAAGAGTAGAAGGTGCTTAGAACCCGGATCACTCAATTTTCCAGTAGCTATTTATCATATATTTATGATAAGTTCGTCTTAATTATTTCACTTCTTTTGTAACCAATACAGCAATATCGTGCTTTAGCATGTGAACGCCATTACAGGCTCCTTACAAACGCACATGTAGTTGAAATAGAAGCAGCTTTAATTGGCGAAGAGAGGGTTCGGCATGATTAGGCTCGAGGAGGACTAATACCGATCCCAATGCGGTAGCGATTATGTGTGTGGGAGTGTGATATAAGATTGATAATCGAATTTGGCAGGAATGGCTAGGAAACCAATCGTTACCGTACAATATTAGTATGATGTTGTCCTTTTGCGCTTATTTATCAGGAAGCGCTTATAATATTTGACAACAGGTGCATGGCGTTCTTTGGAACATCAATTTTTTTATCCTACAAACACTGACTTTACGTATCATAATGACCTCCGCAGATTCTCTGTCCGTCCTCAGGTAGGAATACATTTATTACTTCCAATGGAATATGCTATCCCCTGTTCCTTTCCCTCCCAATGCGAGAGTACTATCCATTGTGTGAATGCCTGTCGAAGCTAATGAACCAATTTAATTAAACACGTGACAGTAGGGTAATATGATATCGGCCAGCCCCTTGCGGGAGAGTTTTAGCTCTGTTAAGCAGTGTAAGTGTTATTGTCTACGTGCATTCATTACATAATCCGTTGGATATCCCTACAAGGAAATTTTGTGTTGCGAATGCCTGAAATCGGTAGGGGCTGCAAATAATGATGTTGGACGGCTACACTGATCTTCTTGATGGTTGCTTTCTAATTTTTTTGCCCTTTTCGCGATACTCTGGTGGTAACCTAACCATATATACTGTATATCAAGTAGATGTGTTTACCCCGCAGTACTGTTATATACTTTTAGTCGCTGTATTATGTAGTCCTGGCTACTGGCGACATCCTGCACAATTTTTTAGAGAAGAAATGTGGATTCGTTGGTGAGGATGAGGAATAAGGATGAGCATTTCAGGACGGCTGATAACATTGGTGTAACGAATCGTATACGTGACACATTGCGTCGAGTACTGAACCTACCGATTAACGCAGTTATGGAATATAAACGTCATGATGAATGTCTGAAGTATGTTTTTGTTTCAATTTCTCTTGAGTTCCTCGAATTCTTTTGCTTTATTTATTGATTTCTTCTCTAAGTATGATGGTATGCTGGATACAAACGCTCTTTGAGTTTCAACAGAGTTCCATTCGATCCTTTCGAGCATTTTTTGACCTTTCTTGCAGTAAGCGTAATAGTTGATATCTTTGGCCTGAACACTCGAGCTCAATTGGTGAGTCATACAAGTAACGGATTAGCAATATACTACTGGCTTCATCAACTCTTCAACCCGTTCGAAGCCTCTGAGTTGTTTGTTTCCATATACTCTTCCAGTGCAGTGCCGGCCTTTTCAAGGTATTTGTGAGCCCTCCTTGCGAACGTGAAAGAGTGAAATTTCCATCAAACTTCGTTAGGATTGGGGATGGGACACCATGACATTGGAACTAGGTTGAAACGAGGAAACCAGGTTGCTTATTCGGATGTCCAACTGTACTCGGTGAGACTGGTGTGCGACTTTCATTGAGGACGCCTTCGGGGAAAATACCAACGAATTGCCTCAGTGTGTCTCTGGGTCGTGTCCCCTTTCAGTAAACAGGATTTTGGGAAGCTCTGACTTAGATAGCACACATTTCCACTTGCCATTGTTATGTTGGCGATATATAGAATAGTTTGACACTATGACTCATGCTTTTTGAAACAACTTTACAACAAAAGGCAAGGGGGGGGGGGGGGGGGGGGG